GAGAAGAGTTGTGGTGCTGTATCTTGAATTGCTCGCAGAGCTCAGTGATCATCTTGTTGTTGAGATTGGAACCATTGTCCGTAATGATTCTTTCCGGGACACCGTATCGACAGATCAGGTTATGCCGAATGAATCGTGCTACGACGTTCTTGGTTACTGTAGCATAGGAAGCTGCTTCAACCCACTTTGTAAAGTAATCGATCGCCACCAGGATGAAGCAATGCTCGTTGGATGCCGTAGGTTTAATCTCGCCGATAATATCAATGCCCCACATTGGAAAAGGCCAAGGTGCAGTCAAGACATTCAGAGGGACTGGTGGAACGTGCACCTTATCTGCATAGATCTGGCACTTATGGCATGTCCGAGAATGTTGGTAGCAGTCGGCTTCCATTGTGGACCGGAAATATCCTGCCCGAAGGATTTTCTTTGCCATGGTATGTCCACTGGAATGCATTCCGAAGGTACCTTCATGCAGTTCTGCCATGATTCTTTCTGCTTCAGTCTTATCCACACAACGCAGCAAAGTTGAATCATGGTTTCGCTTGTATAGAATGCCATTGCTGAGGAAGAACTTTGCAGCGAACCTTCTCAGGAACTTTTTGTCATTGACAGATGCACCCTCGGGATATTCTTGAGCTTCCAAGTACCTCTTTACCTCGTGAAACCAGGGTTTATCTGCTACCTCTTCAGTCTCAATGTCACAACAATGTGCGGGTTCTTCCAACCTCTCGATGGTAATTTGGGGTTCATTATGCCATCTGACTTTGAACATAGAAGACATAGTAGCTAACGCGTCTGCTAACTTGTTCTCTTCTCTGGGGAAATGTTAAAAGGTTATCAGGATGTAGATTGGCTTGCGTGCCTTTCGTGATCCGAGGGTGGAAGATGATTGAACAGTAGGTAATCGAGAGTGAAGGTGGTATACCTTCAATAGTTCGAGTCGGTGTCGTTGCTCTGATATGTAACACTCGGGGGGATGAACACTTGTTGCTTTAATTGTTGATTATTTCAGTTGTTGAACTTTAATTTGATCGTTATTAAATATGTGTTGTTTTGAAGTTGCTGTAACAATGGTAAAGATGTTATTAAGAATTCCACTGCGTAGATGTTAAATTGTTGAATTATTTAATTAAAGTATTTATGCTGATGGTTCATCCTAAGTTTTAAAGTGTTATGTATCCACGTCGAATGCAATGAGTTATTAAAGATGCATTTGTGGCATCCTGATTCGTTTGCATGAATGATTATAACTCTGATTTACATTTATAATTGTCGGGTAAAATTGGGGTGTTACAGTGTCTCTTTCACAAGATGAACAACTAGATGTACCATTATGTCAAAAAATGAGGGAGGAAAATACATTTCAAGCTCACACAAAGTAATAACAATTTCTTTTTGCAATGTTCGTAAGATCTCAGGATCAATCACCTTACTACAAATTGACCTAAATAAAAAACACAACTTAGTTATCGCGCTCCTTACTTTATCTGGAAAAATAGAACGTATACCTATTGGTTGAAAATACTCCATTATAACATGGAAATCATGTGTCTTTAAACTCTTTAACTTGAGGTCTTTCATAGGCACAAGTCTTCTAATATCTGAAGAGTATCCTTCTTGAACTTTAACTTCACTTAGAAAGTTAAACAATATCTTTTTCTCCTTTCTAGATAGAGTAAAAGCACCAGGTGGTAGATATGTTTGGCTTTCTTTCTTCACAGGTCCTAGTTCAGTTTGTATTCTCATCTTTAACATGTCCTACCTTGCTTTAAGGCCATCCTTAGACTTTCCTTTAATATTGAGTAACTTACCAATAACACTTTTAAATACATTTTTTTCCATATGCATAACATCGAGAAAATGTCTCACATACAGAGACTTCCAATATGGCAATTAAAAAAAATCGATCTCTTCTTCCACCCACCTTTGACAACCGTATGCGCAAAAGGCTTGCCAAACTGAGTACACACATCTTTCACCTTTTTAAAAAATTTGGTCACCTGATAATGTAGATGGAGCTTTATGTTGTTCGATGTCTCCCTTGAATGCTTTTCTCCATGCACAGTAGTGATGTTTAGAATGTAATAATCTTCGATGACCGAGAAACACATTCTTCTGACAAAGTTCCTAACGCGTCGTATCGGTTCCATCTTCACAAACAGGACACACACGTTGACCTTTAATGCTATACCCATATAGATTCCCGTAAATTGTGTCAAACAACATCGCCCTTAAATTGAAACTTTGTTTCCTATATCCATCATAAACCTCCACTCTGTTCTCCCACAAAATCTTTAAATCTTTGATCAAAGGTGTCAAGTATACGTCTATGCCATTCCCTAGTTGTTTAGGCCCAGAAATTAACATAGATAAAATCATGTGCTTACGCTTCATACATAGCCATGGAGGTAGGTTATAAATCATTAGAATCACAGGCCATGTGCTACGTGAGATACTTTGAAGACCATGAAGGTTCATTCCATCAGTAGATAAATCCAAGTGAAGGTTTCTTGCTTCTTCTCCAAAATCAGGATAATCATTATCAATTTTCGACCACTGTGGTGAATCTTCCTGATATCGATATTTTCCATCAATAATTCTCTCATCTGCATGCCAAGTTAGGTGTCTTGCATCGGTTTCACTATGAAACATGTGCCTAAATCTCAGAATTATAGGAAAATATCATAAGACTTTTGCTGGAGACAATTTTTCTTATATCGAGACAAATCGCATTTAAGGCACTCATTTAACGGTGCATATTCGTTTCGAAACAGAACACAATCGTTTGGACAAGCATGTATCTTATCATAGCTCATGCCAATAGAGCACAACATTTTTTTTGGCCACATAGGTTCGATTAGGAAGAACATTATCCTCTGAAAGCATATCTCTCATAAGGGCTAATAACTCTGTGAAACTTTTATCTGACCATCCATTGCCCACCTTTAAGTTGTAGAACTTTAATACCGCAGACAGTCTTGTGAATTTAGTGCAACCTTTATACAACGTTTTCTTTGCATCTCTTACCAATCTCTCAAACATTTTGGGACAATCCTGAAGATCTTCTTCAAATGCATCTGCAATCTCTTAGACTTGATCAAAATCGTATGTATCTGTGTCCTTGTCGTCTAAAGCATAGGTCGTCCTACTTTTCTCCCCCGGTTCAACGTTGTCGTTACTTTTTTCACCGTGAAATATCCAAAACGTATAACTTCTATCAATTCCATGCATTAGTAAATGCGATTTCAATCCATCTGCGTCAACCCTACCCACATAACAACAACCCAAGCAAGGACACTTCATTCGACTGGGGTCTTTGGCGTGTTCAACAACAAACTTAACGAATTCCAATACCCCATTCTCGTACTCTTTTGACAATCGATCGACAGACATCCATTTTTTATCCATTTTTTCTACTAATTCAAGTAAACAAAAACACTATAAACGGATTATTCTCTTTTTGTTTGAATTAAACGAATTATTTCTAGAAATTTATTTCTAGAGTTATTAACATCGACTAAAAATAAATATATCTATATAAAAATAATTGTGTTTTTTAATTGACCAATACATATAGAATTTGAACTTGACTTACCAAAGAAAGAAAGGGTTTATTGGTGTCGACGGTAGATGATGCGACTTTGATGTTCTTTGAATCGGTGATGGTCTTCGACTAACTACACCAATACAAATGGATCATCAAAAACAAGTTATATATATATATATATATATATATATATATATCTGTGTGTGTGTGTGTGTGTGTGTGTGTGTGTGTGTGTATGGCTATAATAGCCTAAATCCACAAACCTTAAGAATTTGTTCTTAGACAAGTTTTTTGTGAAAAATTGTATGAGCAACAAATCTCTTATGAATCTTTTCTATCATATTATATTTCTTTCCAACAGAAACAACGTATTTAGGAGTATTAATACTTAAACAATTCTGAAAATTATATCAGTAAAATAATATTAAAAGTAAAGAAACTAAGCAACCAACAAGTAAAAAAATACTAGTTCATGGAGAATATAAACACGATAAACAATTCAGATACTAATTAAAATAACAAAAAAAAAACATCATCATCTTTTTTATTCCAAAACAAAGAACCAAAAGAAAAACATTCAGAAAGTTCTTACTTAATAATCATATACACATACATAGAGAGAGTGATTGATAAATTATAATATATAACATTGCTTCCTCTTCTGACTTCTCATCACATTTGATCACAAACCAACAAAGATGATACAAAATGCAATAATGCATGACAATAATACAAAATGCAATAATGAAACATACATAAACTGAATCCAAACTTCAAAAACAATAATATCTTAGAAGTGTTGCTGAAAGTGCAATAATGCTAAAATACAGAAAGTGAAATAATGCTAAAAGTGTTGTGGTTATCAAGCCCTACCAAGAACCGAAAAATCAAAATGCATACCTATAACTCAGTTATGTATATCTATACCTCAGTTTGGACATAAATAGGAGGATAATGTCTTAGATGTTAGCATAGTACATTATCAATAGGAGGATAACTCAGTTTGAACATCAATGGAGATAAAGACATTTTCAAGAAATAACCTACCTTGAGAACCGGCCTGTGTGGGTGGATTTACCAGATCAAATCCATATTTAATTGAGTCCGCGTATGCCTTTGAATTAATTAAAAGATATAAAAGGTCAATAACCTATATATATATATTTATTTTATTTTTATCAATAATAAACCTTTTATTTATTAATTTGTTTTTATAGAATAGAAAATAAAATTTAGTGTCCGAAAAAAATCATGCATATTATAGTATCTGTCTATCTATATGGTAGTATAAGATTATAAACAAGATTGCAATTCAGAAGAACATTACTTTATTTTCAATATATGAAGACAACACATGCTATTTGATTGCTACTTCTTTATTTAAAGGTGAGTCCATCCAATTACATTGCTTTAATACAATGAGAGAAATTGACTTGCATATAATAATAAAGATTCAAATTCCAGCAAATTTTCCCATTGGAGCCTCTTGTGATCCAATTGAATGATGATAATTAACATACTCATCATAGTTAAACAGACGGTAGCGTTTAGGGTAGTTTTCATTATCCACAAGTTCAGATGGCCCCTTAATGATCAAGCCTTCCCTTGGCACAGCAAAAAATATAAATACAAATCTCTCTTCATCCTTTGCCACCACTCTGTGTGTGGCCGCCTCAAGTCTCCCATTACTCCATGCCTGTATTAAGCATTGTGAAAGAGACAAACAAAAATAAATGAATGATGAAGACCATTTCACATAAACTCAATTTCTCTATTATAAGTTGATATTTATTACCTGCAATATATCACCAACAACTACCACAAAGCCATTAGGAGGAATATTTATGTCAACCCAATTGCCGGTTTTCGATAGCAACTGCAGACCTTGAACTCCATTGTCACATATGAAGGAAATAGTTCCTTTGTCTGTGTGAGGTACCAAACCAATATTAGAACCTTTTGTCTCTTCAGAAGTTAAATACTTAGTCATGCGTGCATCATTGTAGCTATTCAACTCTCCAATATCCAACTTGTAATGTTATGGAAGTTCAAAGGTTTCAACAACCATCTTCAAAATAAGAGAACTTAGTTCACGAGTTTTCGAGCTATAGGAACTTAACGCCGCACTGCATGTATATCACATATTTTAATAAATTATTTTGAAATTAAATATGCTAAACTAATTTTACTCAAAATAGTTTAAAATAATATGTAACTGAAATTATAAAATCAAAATTCATACATGTCTAGCAAGTCTATATGTGTGTGATGTATTTTAATTAGGTACTTTAAAATTTTCTGGTTTTAGTGATGATGGATATTATTTTTCTGGTTTATGGTGAGTTTATGAAAGAGTAAAATGAAGAAAAATAAAGAGAAACAAGCGATATATTCTGGTTCCCCTCGCAGTCCGAGAGTACTCCAGTCCCCTTTGAACATGAAAGAGATTTCCTTATTGTGGCAAACTTAAACAAGAACAACCCAAAACCAAGAACAATCCTCTTGGACCAAGAACAATTCTCTTGTATTTTCACTATGTCAACAATGAGAACAATCCTCTCAAAGCGACTTCACTTGTATCCAACAATCCTGGAAAAACAAGATTACAAAACCACTTGAACTTATTTTCAACAATCCTGAAAAATAAGCAAGTATATAACAATATTTGATTTGAGTGAGTTTGTGTAGCAATGATCACTTTGAGTGATTTTTATCAATGAATTGATCTTCTCTTCCAATAACAATAGTATACAATGACTCAAGATATATAATGCTCAAAGTTTTCTGGTTGACAATATGTGAAAGTGTGCAGAAAACTTGTATATGAAAGTGTATAAAAGCTTGAGTTTGAATTTTGAAAATTCAGAAAATATGATTGGAAGAGGTACATAAAATGATTTTGAAAATGAGTATTTATATGTTCATAGCACCCTTTTGAAATAACATATAATTATGCAAATAAATCATGAACAATTACCAAGATTGAGTGAAAGGTTTCCATGAAATGGTGTTATGAACAAGCATGAGTAAAGTTGTTGTTTTTCAAAATCGTTCAGCATGCAATCGATTGCACCCTTGTGTAAATTGATTGCACGGAGTTTCAACAGCAAAAAAATCAAATATTTTGAGTGAGCAATCGATTGCACAAGTGTGTAAATCGATTGCACATGAAGTCAGTAGCAAAAATTGATTGAGAGCAATCGATTGCACAAACATGCAGATCGATTGCACTTAGAAACAATAGCTAATCCTTTGAAAACATGAAGCATGCAATCAATTGTACCAATATGCAAATCGATTGCACCTAAGCGAAAATTGAATTTTTGCTTTATAAAATATGAGAAAAAGTTTGGACAAGATAAAATATTTCTTTTGACCATTGAGCATATATGTCTTAAGTTCAAAGTAAGTATTATTATTATACTTTGAAATTTGCTAAGTGCTTGAACCAAAGACTTTATCCACAGATGCTTTTAGCTTGATCAATAATCTTTGCCTTCTTGTTAAAATGGTTTGTCTTCATATTGCATTTGAGAAGCTTGATTTTACATAACATGCATACAATGAGATTTAATACTCAAAAGAAGCGTTGAATATGGTATAAATGGATATATCTGATTTATAAATGAACATATATATATATATATATATATATATATATATATATATATATATATATATATATATATATATATATATATATATATATATATATATATATATATATATTAATTATTAAATAAATCTATAATGCTAAAATTTGCTTAAGATAGGGTGCAGATGGAGTAATTAATTTGTTTTATCCAGAAACTCTAATTGGTAGATTAAAATGAAATTTAACGTCAAGTTAAGTAAAAATGTATTTTAATTTTATTAAATAAAAAATAGTTAAGGAAAATAAAAAGAAAATATTTTTATTGGATATAAAAATAAAATAAAATCTTTTAAAATTTTTATTCTTAAAAAAAGGAAAATTTCTTGTAATTGTTGTTAGAATGGGAAATAGAAATAGAAACACACTAAAAACAAAATGAAAAAAAAAAGATTTAAATGTACTTTTAATTAATTTATTTTGATTCTTTATAACCTTTTAGTTCTCTTTTTAAAAAAAATATGTTTTTTTTTGGAGAGAAAGCAAGACTTTATTAACCACATTAATTCTTGATCCCAATCAAGAGGGCTATGGTTAATATTCTTCCATGTCAGGATTTACAACCATATATTTTTTGTGTAATGGCATTCAAAGAATAAATGTTGCAAGGTTTCCTCATTAGTACAATAAATACAACAGCTATCATCAATCAAACCAAACTTCTTTAATCTACCTTTAGTAGGGATCCTCTTCCACTAAGTCATCCATAAAAAGAATCATGCTTTAGGCCTAGCATAGTTGTCAAAGAACATTATTATTCAACTGACACGAGAAACATTACCACATAAGGCCTTATACATACAAGTTGTGTTGTATTTCCCATTCACGACGGTATTGTGCCAATACGCATTACTACTGATAAGGTCTTTGTATTTGAAAATTATTTTCACAATCCAGGAAGTAGAATTGGATCCTTGCCACGCTAAATTATTATGCCCTTTGAAATAAAAAGTGTACAACCACCTAATCTATAACCTATCTGCTTTCATGTGGATATTCTGAAGAAGCTTACCAAGCGAAGCTTAACTCCAAGTGTAGAGATTGATTATGTTCAAACCCCCAGCCACTCTAGGTTGACAGACTGAATCCCACACTATCTGAGCTTTTCTACTGATTACTTCAGATCTACTCCAAATGAAGCTTCGGTAAATGGCAATAATCTTCTACAGGACCTGTTTAGGAAGGGGAAGGGCTTGCAGCCAAACTTGAATCTTCTTAATATCATTTAGGGTCCTCCTGTTTAAACCCCTCATGTTTGGTTGAAGTCTCTTCAATTTGCACCACAGTACATACATTGGTTGGCCCTTTTCACTTTTACTCCAGCTCTTTTCAACAACCTCCAAGAAGTCAGAGTGGTTCACCATATTATTCATAAATCTAAATCTTTTCTGAATTTTTAACCCCTTATACACATGGCCATGAAGCTGGACTCTAAGCGGACAATGATCATAAATATGGGCATTCAGGACCTCAATAACGCAGTCAGGGAACTTGACAAACCAAGATTGATTACATAAGGCCCTGTCTATGAGAGAGTTGACCAAACCATTACTCTATTTATTAGATCAGGTAAAATAGTTCCCCCGTGTGTCATGTTCAAATAGATTAGAGATTGTCATCATTGAGATAAGGTCTTAAAATTCTGCAACATGAACTGAATTTCAACCAATTTGATCTGCACTAGTGAGAACATTGTTGAAATCTCCAATTACAATCCAAGGATTATGAATGTTGTCAGCTATTTGTTAAATCTATGTCCAGAGTCTTCTTCTATCTGCAACCTGATTATGAGCATAGATAAATGTAATCCAAAACCTGTGGCCTTTGTTATCAGTCATCTCACAGTGTAGATATTGATCCCTGTTGTATCCCAAAATTTGCCCTCTTTTCATACACGCATATTATTGGTTTTATGGTTATGGAATAAAGGTATATTTATCAAACTTCTTCAGGTTACAAGTGACGTTTATTTCGTCAATGGATATTCTCAGAGTATTTTCCGTGCTGAAGATCGGTTCGCCGTTTTGCAACGATTCGCGGTTCAAAGATTCACAAGTCCAACCCGGCGCTTCATATTCAGGTGTTCTTTCACCAAGATATCTCTAATAACATATTCTCAAATTCAGGTTCGGCTCAAGAGTCAATTCTTTAAAGAAGGTCTCCGAATGTGTGAGTTTTCTCGAAGAAATATGGTGAAAAAGTGTGCTGAAAGTGCAGTTTTTACGCACTAAAAAATTCATAACTTGAAGATTGTGGCTCGTTTTGAACCCGTTCCGTTAGCCAAAATTCCTTCTTGACGATATCTACATCTTCATCTCTCACGGATGGAAGCCAATTTCGATTAGAAGGTCTTCAAAAATGCAGATTTATCAAGTATTTTCGTACAGAAAATTTGGGACAAAAATTTATTTGCGTCATGTTCAGAAAATCATAACTTGGTCGATTTTCATCGTATCGAGCTGGTTCCAGCACCAAAATTTCAAAAATTGAGTTGACTACATTTTTACAAGAGGTACCGAGTTCGAACGATATCCAAAAGGCCTTCATTTTTTGCTCAGAGTGCATGTGACGCGCCGAAAATCCTGAATGCTGAATATTATTTCATTTGGACTGAAACTTCGAAAATTCATAACTCGGTCAATTTTTATTAGATCGGGCCCATCTTTTTACACAAGGTCACTAACTCAAAGATCTACAACTTTACTTCAAAAGTCGAGACCGAATTATGCACCAATAAATACCAGTTTTTTATTGAAGAACGTGTCAGAATCGACACTGGAGTCCAAAATAAGTTTGTCTGAGCTGAAACTTCAAAAATTCATAACTAATTTACCGTTTATCCAATTGAGCCCATTTTCGGACAGGAGTTAGTTCTCGATGTCGGATACATTTTTTTTCACATTTCAACTTCAAAAATTGCACTTAAGCCCCTGCGATTTTACCTAGAATGTGACGGACTCAAGTGAATATTGGAGGCCCAATTTCACATTCAAAGCCCATTTTTTTCTCTCTAATTTCCATTATATAATCTCATTCTTTTCACACAAACGAGGAGAAAAAAAAACCTTTGCCACAATACTGCCAGAATATCAAATTCTTCAAGAACCCTAAAACCTTGAAATCCTTATTATAAATCCCCATCTCACTACAAACAAGTCATCCTTATTACAAACCCACATCTCACTACTTTCCAATAAGGGTAAGGCTGGTTTGATCTCCATGATCAAAAGGGTATAATCATTCATACATGTCATATCGATTTTAACGTTAAATTTTTTTCTCATATATTTTCTTTATTTGTATTTCATGATATATATTAATTTATTTAATGTGTTCAT